GGAAACCCTGTACAGGGTCGCTATGGGTCGGAATCGACTCGACGGCACTTCACAATCAACAATCAATTTGTTAAAACACATTCTTGAGGAGAAGGCTTGTAGAGGAGGTAAAATTTTGAGATTTTTCTGGTGTAAAAATGTATTCTACTTTCTGGAGAGTTCTTTATTATCCATTTTTTGTATTCAGTTTATTTCTGCTGTGATATCTTTCATATTCAAGAGCTTATTCATATGCTCGATCTTTTTTTAAAGCATTTTTTTCTTATTTCACAGGGAAAAAAAAAAAAAAATCTCTTCTCAGAGAATATCAATATTGGTGATATGGTTTTGTAGTGGGATTTTTGCTTCCCTGCATTGATTGTCTCTCTTTTTTCAAGCTGCTTTCTTCTGTTGAAATTGTTCTGTCAGGAGACTTTCTTTAAATGTCTGATGATGCTTAATGTTGTTAGGTATCATCGATTCGACTCTGACCCTTAGTCACTCTGTGCACAACAGAACGAAACACTGCCTGGCCATGCACCTTCCTCATAATTGTTGTAATGTTTGAGCCCATTGTTTCAGTCACTGTGTTAACCCATCATGTTGGGATCTTCCTCTTTTTTGCTGACCCTCCACTTTACCAAACATGATGTTCTTTTCCAGGGACTGGTCCCTCCTGATAGAATGCCCAAAGTACATGAGACAAAGTCTCAAAATCCTTCCTTCTGAGGAGCATTCTGGGTGTACTTCTTCCAAGAAAGATTTGTTTGTTCTTGTTGGCAGTCCATGATAATTTCAGTATACTTCACCAACACCATTCTTCTCTGGTCTTATTTATGGTCCAGTTTCCACATGCATATGAGGTGATTGAAAATACCATGGTTTGGATCAGGTATACCTTAGTCTTCGAAGTGACATCTTTGCCCTTTACCACTTTAAAGAGGTATTTTGAAGCAGATTTGTCCAATGCAATAAATAGTTTGAGTTCTTGATTGCTGCTTTCATGGGCATTGATGGTGGATCCAAGTAAAATCGAATCCTTAAAAACCTCAAACTTTTTCCATTTATCTTGATTTTGTTTATTGGTCCAGTTGTGAGGATTTTTATTTTTTTTACATTGAGTTGCAATCCATACCGCAGGCTGTGGTCTTTGATCTTCATAAACAAGTGCTTCAAGCATCTTCGCTTTCAGCATATTGTAGGTTGTTAATGAGCCTTCCTTCAATCTTAATACCTTGATCTTTTTCATATAGTCCAGCTTCTCAGATTATTTGCACAGCATATAGGTTGAATAAATATGGTGAAAGCATCAACTCTGGTACATACCTTTCCTGGTTTTAAACCATTCAGTATCCCCTTTTTCTGTTTAAATAGCGGCCTCTTGATCTATGTACAGGTTCCACATGAGCACAAGTAAGTCCTCTGCAGTTCCCATTCTTTGCCGTGTTATCCATAATTTGTTAGGATCCACGCAGTCAAATGCAGTCAAATGCTGGTCTTCAGTCATTAGTGTTCAGTGCATCAAATCTGTTTTTTCCTTTTTTTCTGAAAGCTCTTATTGTGAATTGAGTAATGTGGTAGAACTTCGGTACAGTCAATAAAAGCAGTATTCTCTGCTTTCAGCCACGATCCATCTGAAGTCAGTAATGATATCCCTTATTCGGTGCCCTCTTCTGAATCCAGCTTGAATTTCTGGTAGCTCTTTGTTGATATGCTGCTATAACTGTTTTTGAATTATCTTCAGCAGAAATTTACTTGTGTGTGCTATTTATGGTATTCAACAATTTTTCACATTCTTCCCTTGCCTGGGAGGGACAAGAGGGCTACTTTTATTGGAATATGCAAAATGTGGACCTTTTCCAGCCTTTTGGCAATGTAGTTTTCTTCCAAATTCCTTGGCATAGACCTGTGAGTGTTTCCAGTGCCGCATCCAGTATGCTAAAACATTTC